AAGTAATAGTAAATTACAACATGCTCCCGAAATGACACATATTTCGATTTTAAATTAGTGTTTATCCTTGAATGGAAAATACGTAACTTATGTCATGTTGATATCGACAACTTGATTAATTGTTGTGAGATATTTAATCATATTCTTCGATATTAATTGTATCTTATTTTATGGTGAAGTTACTCAAATAGTAAATATCACAAAGTTCAAAATGAATTGTCGATATATTTGTTTAGTTGATAGTGCAAATATGCACGCTATTTTTCTAGAAAAAAAGTTTTTTTTGAACTTAACATTAGTAGAAAATAACGTTAATACGATATCGAATGCATCAAATATCGTTGAATGCTCCAGAAGAGTTTGTATTATTTTACCCAATAATAAAAAATTATATATTGAAGATACACTTTATTCTAACAAATTCAGAAAAAAATTGCTTAGTTTTAAATATATTCGCTGCAATGGATATCACATTGAGACGATACAAGAAAATAATATTGAATATCTTTACATAACTTCTTTTATATCTAGTCAAAAGCAGATTAAAGAAAAATTTCATACACTTTCATATGACATGGAGATATATGTGCGTCAATACACCCACCATGTGGACCATTTCGTTATTTTTTGGTAATCTACTAGATGATCACATATTTGCCTGCTTTCCACTAAAAATGTAAATTTTGCTAGATTATTTGTTCAAATCATAAAATGACGAGCGCAATTTTTCGATTACTCAATCAAAACTATTCGTCTTGACAATGCTGGTGAATTTAGATCACAAGCATTCGATTATTATTTATATCAATTGGGATTGTTATTGAACATTCGATTGCGCGTGTCCATACACAAAATTGTTTAGCGGAGTCATTTATTAAATGTTTACAATTTATTGTTATACCATTACTTATGAAAACAGAACTCCCAACTTCTGTTTGGAGTCTTGTCATATTACATGATGTGTCATTAATTCATATCAGACCAACTGTATATTATCAATATTAACATTTGCAATTGACATTTGGTCTGAACCTAATATTTCCCACATGCGGGTTTTTCTTTGGGCTGTTCAAGTCCATATTTCACCCATACAATGTACTAAAATGGATCATCAACAAAGACTTGAGATTTATGTGGGTTTTGATTCATCATCTATTATTACGTATCTAGAATCTTTAGTGAGTAATTTATTAACTGCACGTTTTGCATATTATCATTTTGATGAAATGACTTTCCCAACTTTGGAAGAGAAAAAAACTATATTCTGATAAATATGGTAAAATATATTAGAATGAAACAACTCTTTCTCACTTTGATCCCGCATCAATCAATGTGAGTAAGATGTTGAAAATTCATTTACTTGCAAAGATTTATAAATCAGTTACTAGATGTATTTGTTGACACAAGAAAAGTGACAACGTCATATGTACCAGCAGAAAATATTTCAGCAAAAATTGATGTCAATGCAGGACAATTTGTTGTAACAAATGAATTTCAAATAGAAAAAATCATTCATTCGCAAAGAGTTACAAATCAATTACCGGATGTATTTGTTGACACAAGAAAAGTGACAAAGTCACATATACGAGCAGAACATATTTCAGCGAAAATTGATGTACATACAAGGCAATTTGTTGTAACAAATGAATCTCAAATACGCTAGAAGTGTGATCGATCAGTTGGTTCAAAAGACTTTGTACCTCAAAAAGAAAAGTACAAGAGAAAAATCAATCAATGTACTAAAATGGATCATCAACAAAGACTTGGGATTTATGTGGGTTTTGATTCACTATCTATTATTAGGTATCTTGAACATTTAACGAGTGATTTATTTACTGCACGTTTAGCATATTATCATTTTGATGAAATGACTTTCCCAACTTTTGGAGGGAAAAAATTACATTATGATAAATAATGTAAAATATATTGGAATGAAACAACTTTTTCTCACTTTGATCCCGCAGCAATCAATGTGAGCAGGATGTTGGAAAAATCATTCATATGCAAAGAGTTACAAATCAATTACCGATATATTTGTTGACACGTGAAAAGTGACAAATTCATATATACCAGCAGGAAATATTTCAACAAAAATTGATGTCCCTACAAGACAATTTGTTGTAACAAATGAATCTCAAATACGTTAGAAGCGTGGTCGACCAGTTGGTTCAAAAGACTCCGTACCTCGAAAAATAAAAGTACAAGAGAAAAATAATCAAAAACTTCAGCAAAAGTAACATTAAAAAAGATTGATCAATCAAATATTGAAAATATGATTTTTAAAGAACTACAAGTGTTCGAAAATAATGAGATTTCAATAAATTATATATTTCAATAAATTATATATTATCTTATAAATTATGGGAACGAAATAATATTGTTATGACAATATTTTTGTCTTTTAACATGATTCTTGATATTATGCAAAATGTGGATCCTGAATCACGGTCTATTAAATACTGTCAACATAGAAATGATTAGCCAAAGTGGAAAGAAATCATATAGGCGGAATTGAATTCCTTAAAGAAATAGAAAATGTTTGGACCTGTAATTCGAACACTTAAAAATGTAATCCATGTTGGATACAAATGTATTTTTGTATGAAAGATAAATAAAAATAATGAAATTACTCAACCTTAACCAAATTCCTTTATTTAAATTTGGTTAAGTATAACTTTGAACAAGT